AAATAAAAATTAGGCACTTGGTGAGATGAACGATTTACAGAATTTGAAACAAAAGTCAAAAATATTAATTTAGCACGAAGACACACATAATTTATGTGCAGTGTAAAACTTTTTCACTTTTCAGAAAACTCTAAAAATTTAGTGAGGCATTTGCCTCACTTGTCTCAATGGTAGTTACGGCCTTGAGTATTGATTCAAGTCGTTCAGTTCATGTGATAAACTAAGGGGTAGGAGATGAAAATTTTAGCTGGAATAATAAAGATAGGAAAAAATCATCTAAAAAACAATGCTATATGATCAGTGATATTTTATGCAAGCATCCCCAGGTTGTGTAGATTCAAGTTTGTTCAAATCATGTCCCTGGATTAGAAGGGACATCCGTCCGTCTAGCTGTCCATCCATACGTGTATCTGTTAACTTTTCTTATTTTAGACTTTTTCTCAAGAACCACTGGGCCAATTTTAACCAAACTTGGAATTTAAGTTTGTTGAAGTGAAGGATTAATTCAAGGGGAGATAATTTAGAAATAGTGAAAATTAGTGGTATATTTTAAAAATATTCTCAAGAACCAGTCTGCCATGAAGGTTGACACTTATGTGGGAACATAGTCAGGTAATGTAACACTTAAATTTGTTCAAATCATGATTCCTGGGGGTAGGGAGAGGCTGCAAGGGATGATCAAAGTTGTACATAGAATTATATAGGAAAAATCTTTAAACATCTGCATCTCAAGAACAGCAAACACAGGATTAGTCATATTTATATGGAAGCATCCTCAGGTAGTATAGATATAAGTTTATTCCAATCATGACCTCTAAGGTAAGGACGGGTAACAATATAATGGTATGATCAAAGTTTTACATAGGAATATTTATGAAAAATCTTTTAAACATCTCCTCGAGAAAAGCAATCAAAATTATAGCATGTTTAGAACAATGAAACCCATATAAATTAAGAGTTCTTGAAAAAAATCTAAAAAATTATCAGGAACCTTGCCAATACTTCCTAATTATAAGGTTGTTAAAAATGATGGTTGACTTCAATGTTCTTGTCTCCTTTCTTAAAATAACAGTATAAACGAATTTATTAAAACTGAAATAAATCTCTTTCTTAAAGTAGCACAACAAGTCAAAATCATCTCTTTCTTTAACTATATCTGTAGCATGCAGAGAAAGAAGAATATGAGCAAAAGGCTAAGATATGACAATTAAACTGCAAGAAAAAACTGCACAATATAAGTGTCGGAAAAACAAAGGTTGTATCTACGATTTTGTTTTTTTCGTGTTTGTCAAGGTCACACCGCTTTTATTATGTCTCCCCTTTCGAAGGGGAGACAAATTGTTTTTGTCGATTTTCTTCTTCTTCTTCTTTATCCAAATTTTGTCCAGGCCGTAACTTGAATACCCTTTGACCTGAAGACTTCATACATAGAACAAACATAGATGACCTTGAGGCAGAGTGTATGCCACCAAAATGTTTGACCTTGATTTATTTTTAAGGTCAAGGTCAAACTTTTACATGGAAATAGAGTTTTGACATTATAGCTTGAATACTCTTTGATATTAGGACTTCAAACTTTTAAGATAGAAAGAAGACATTAAATACAAGATGCAGTGCACCAGAACTTTGACCTTTAACCCCTTCTTTCTTCAAGGTCAAAATGAGAAAAAACATTATTTGAACATAACCATAGACATTTAGACTTCAAACTAAGAACTTGCAGAGTACACATAAGAGAAGGGTGTATGTGATTAAAATATATGACATTGATCCAATTAAAAGGTCAAGTTCAAACTTTCACATCAAAATAGAGTTTAGGCCATAGCTTGAATACCCTTTGATATTAGGACTTCATTCTTATATCATAAAAGGAAGACATGAAATACAATATTCAATGCACCAGAACTTTGAATTTGACCCCTTTTTTCAAGGTCAAATAGAGAAATCATGATTTCACCATAACTTGCAAACCCTTTAACATTTAGACTTCAATCTTGGAACATGCAGAGAACACATAGGAGAAGGGTGTGTGTGATCAAAATATTTGACCTTGATCCAATATTATAAGGTCAAGGTCAAACTTTCACATGAAATTATATCCTAAGTCATTACCTGAGACTTTTCTTGACATTAGCATTTTAAACATGGAACAAGTAAACACAACATTAATCCTAAATACACAATATCAAAATTATTTGACCTTGACCACATTCTTCATTCAAGGTTAAATTAAGAAAAAAGAAGTCCAGACCAGAACTTTGATACTTTTAATTTAAAGTTTTGAAAGATGCACTGCATTATTATTTTGACCTTGATCGTAAAACTGCACTTGTGAATGTTGGTAAAGAAGGGGAGACATGTGTGTTCTTGTTTAAAAAAAAAATATCCACTAGTTTTAGCTCAAACTTGTAAACAGCATTCAACTGGAGCATTCAAAGGTCAGAAACATGTACTAAGAACATTTTTAAAAGATTACATCAAAATTTTTGGTCTACTTACATTCATTCCTGGGTACTTGAGACCATGGTAAGGCCTACAAAAAAAATAGGTTTGTTTCCGCTTTCCCGACCGACCCTAATTTATAGTGCCGACCCTAAATATTTTTTTAATGCTTTTGTCCCATGATGTGCAAGATTTCAACCAGGGAATTATAGCCTCCAACTTTGCAAGCTTTTCAAGACAGAAAGAAGTTTGGGTCACCTTTCTATTATAAGTTAAAGCACAGTAATGCTTGAAAACACCATTTCTTTTGTCATTAATGTTACTTCTATACACGTTTTGATAAAAGAAGCAAAAAAAAATTATTTTTTTTTAAATTGCCTACCTACCTACCCTATATTTTTCAGCCTGAAAGCGGAAACAAACATATTTTTTTTCTAGGCCTAACTATATATGGAAACTTATTCAGCTTTTCTGCACATGCGTACAAGAACGAGGAAAAAGAATTAGCAATATTTTATTTAGGGGCATACTGTGATTATTTTAACTTTCATGTTTCTCCATAAAAATAGAAAATTTAAGTTCTGAAACCTGTAATTTTCTTAAACCTAATACTTTTTGGAATTAACACTGGTGTTGCAGGCATTCATCATTGGTCAATTTTCCCCTTTGTGCATCATGGTGTCTCTGTAAAGTTATTTAATCTATACATGTACATTTGCAGTGCTACTTCATGACTGTACTAATCACTCCATACCCACCAGTGCCTGCATATAATTAACCTTGAATATGTCAATATGAGTACACAATGACATACTGTATAAATTTCTTAGTTTTCAATGAAACAACATGAAATTTAGAATGCAGGTCAATGACTGTCACCAAAAATGATTACAGGCAGATCCATACATATGTGCTGAATTACGATAAACTCTAATGTAGTCTATAAAATAATATAATAAAAGTATATGAGTATGTTTAGAATTAATGAATAACAAAACAATATGCGATTATTCACAATGCAAAATATCATTTCTGTCAAATGAACACTTTTCTTATACATGTATGACTTTTAAATACATGCAATTAATATATTATTTTCCAAAAAATGATGTGAAAAATGACAAATTTTAAAATTAACATAGGGAAAATTGTTTTAAAGCTTACAGATTATATGGGGTACCATATTTACTTGTTCCCTGGTTTAATTTCTGGAAGTTCATTTTAATCCAAAAGTAATTCTAATAGCTTCATGATAGCTGAAATAAACTGGCATGCACTGTACATCAGCTTGTACGAGTTCTGAAACATAAACATGATCCAATATTGTACCACCCTCTGTAGTAGAGAAATTAACTTTCTGCAAAAATCCTTTAGATTCTATCAATTCTTGAATTGGTCCTTTGCATTTTGCATCTTCATTAAAGTCACCCAGTATAATGCATTTGGAAAACTGTTCTTTGAAATGATCTAAAACTTTTTGAAGGCCATCAAGAAAAACTCTAACACTAACTTGACTTGGTCGATATATAATAATAAGTACAGTGCTTTCCTCACACAGTTCTACTGCCATTCCTTCTATGTTTTTCTGTGGTAACTTGTGAATCAAAGTTTTTTCATTTTTCTTCTTGTACATACCGACACCTCCTCCCTTGGCTTTGTGAAGCTTGACAAAACTGTCTACACTTTCATCATAAGATTGTTCCCTTGAAACATGGTAAAAATCAAAGTTTTCAATTTCAAAATCTTTCATATTCTCACTGCCTTTCAACCATGTTTCTGTCAAACAAACAAAGTTTGCATGCAGAAATCTGCTGTCATGTTGAAGGTCTTGAAAATGTCCTCTTAAACTCTGCACATTCAGTAAAACAATAATTTTTTGACTGTCAGAGGTGATCATGTTTGAATAATTTTGGTTTGGAATTAATTTCTGCATTTTAAGCAGGGCAGATTTCACCTCTTGATCAGCGTAAATTTTCTTCTGTAATATATTTTCATTACTGGTCTCAATAAATAAACCACTCTGAGAAGTGACTCTACTAATAGCTACATAAGCTTGCCCTGGAGCAAATGCTCGATCTAAATTTACAACAACACTGTTTGTTGTCATTCCCTGAACTTTATGTGCTGTACAAGCCCATGACAATTTTGAAGGAAATTGGTGGCGAACAACATTTTTTGTATTTTTTTCTTTGATGTCTTCTTGTACTCTTTGAATAAGGACTAGATTTCCTTGAGGGGTCAACTTTCCTTCCTGCCTTCCAGTATCTTTACTATCAAATATCACTCCAATTCCTTCCACTCTATTTCTCTGTTCACCTTTTCCAAACTCAATAGTAGAAATGTATCCCATTGCACCATTAACAAGTCCATCATCCACATTTACGTTTCTTGTAAGCATCAACCTAGCATTCACAGAAATGAGCAGGGAAGAGGATAAGCCATCTGTTCGTGTTCTAATGAAAGGTTTATCACGTAAAGTGAGCTTACCTGTCGTTCTATCTTTCTGATAATCTTCAGCATTTACTTCAATTAAATCTCCACACTTTTCCTTCAAAATCTTAAGGATTTTGTTCATTTGCTACTTCGTTTGTGGGATATACATGCAGAACATCTTCTGGCCCATCTTTAATATATTCTGAAAGCATCACTTTAGCTTTTTCTGACAGTGGTTCTTCTATTGTCCGAATTCGTAATGAATTCAAAATTGAAGCAAAATTTGCATCTTCTCTTTGTCTCATTATTTCGTCCAACTCTACCATTTTGAAAAAGTCGAACCAATAGTCTACTGGATATTCTTCATTTACATTATACAATCTCTCTGCTTTTCGTTGTTTCACAGGAGGAAGTTGGTAGAAATCTCCAACTGCTAAGATAGATACACCACCAAATGGTTCTTTGCATTTCTTAATTTGAACAAGACGCTCATGAATATAATACAAAAGCCTCTTGTGAACCATAGATATTTCATCAATAATCAAGATCTGCAGGTTTCCTAATTTAGATCTTATTGCACTCAAGTTTTGCTCATTCACAGGTTCATATGGAATTCGTAGAGCTATTGGCAAAGAAAAAGCATGGTGAAGTGTATTGCCCCCTATATTAAATGCAGCAGTGCCAGTAAAAGATGTGAGAAGAACAGATACATCATTTGGAGTTGAAAGTAATTTTTCAAACAGACGAGAAGCTTCATAATGTATAACCTTGATCAAATGGCTTTTTCCTGTTCCTGCACCCCCTGTGACAAAGATATGCAATGGTTCTGTATTCTCACCAGTAACTTTCTTTAAACACCAGTCACGAACTATGTAAAAAACCTCCTTTTGTTTTTCATTTAACCTTCTCAATAACGGAAGCATTTCTTGCCTTGAATTACGGTGATGTGATATAGCAAGTCTGAAGAACTGTTTTCAATCTCATGAGTGACTTCTGGTTTTTTATCTTCTAATTTCTCAGTCACCATTTTTTCATCTAAACACTCATTCCTATTGATTTCTGTTTCTGGACAAAGTTTTGCCCAAGCATCCTCAGGTTCACCATAAAGTTCAAAAACCTCTTGAGCATTATCAATAGCATCTTCATTTTTTAAGAATTTGGACTGATTGCATTCCACCAAAGCTTTCACTGGTTGTAAACGAATCTCAGATTTCAGCCTAACAAATCCAGTTTCAAAAAATGCCTGGTAAAGTTCAAATCCAGGTGGTTTCAGTTGATCTTGTGTGACATATGGAAGAAAAAGCTGTAAAACTGATTGATAATACTTTTCTGGTGCATTTTCTGGATTAAATCTAGGATATCTGATAACAGCTGGTTTTCCTCTTGTTCTTTTCTGTATGAAACCTTTTCCATGCTTCAATTCATAAACACTTTCATTTTCCCCTTTAGGAATCTGAGATTTAGCAAGCACCCTGTAAGAGGAACAAAATTCTGCAAGACACATCTTATCAAACAAATGTAGGTCAGGACGATTTTCGTACCTTTCTACAATATTTGTCATCCATATTTCATCATCATCATCATCACCTTCCAAGTCATCTTCATTGCATTCACTTCTCTGTTTTTTTCGCATTTGGGCAAGAGGTTTACTTAAACGAGTGGGATTTTCACCAACAGGAACAAAAACCACTTTCCTCGAACTCTCCTTCATTCTCAGATTACAGACTCTGTATACTGCTTCCTGGGCACTGACCTCCCTTTGATTAAGATATGCAGATCCTATTGATCTCATTGTTTGACGAGCACTTAAGTTGCCTTCTATTGCCTCTATTTGTGTTTGCTTTAAAAGCATTCCCATTTCTCTTTCTGACTTTGATATATATGATATAATGTACACGATGCAGCTGAAGGGGTCTAGAACATATTGTATGTCCATGTTTGCATCCCAACATCTGAGAAGGCATGGGTTGTACTGATTTGTCCACATTTCATCAGGATTTCGTCTTAATACAGTACTTGTTTTTGTGGACAATATCTTGTGGGCTATCTCATATAAATCTTGTGTAAGGTGGATGTTGCTGAATATTTCTTCAGTTGTCTTGAGTGCATTTACATCTTCCAATACTTCATTCCAAACACTCAGCAAAATATCCTTTGCCTGTGATTTGCTCAATACCCCATCATCATCATCATCATCAGAAATGTCATCCTCCTCCTCATATTGCTTTGTTATAAAGGTTTTCTCTGAAGGTGGTCTTGGAAAATTGAATCTGCATTCTGTTCCCTTTTTTCTGCATGACTTTGAGTGACTCTTGCTATGTTGTTGTACAGCTAATACAATTTGTCTAAGCTCTGGGTTTTCATTATCAGTAGGCAAAGCACATGTGACATACCTATCAATGAAATCACAAACTGTCTCATCACTATCTATGTTGAATTTTGGTGCATTTTCAACCCAGTACAAGCAATGCATATGTGGAGAACCTCTTTGCTGAAATTCAACTCTTATAAAATAATCAATGACTTTTCCTATTGGGTTTGATGGTGACAATATTACATCTCTTTGGAAAATGTGGAATCTGTTTTCAAACATTCTGGCTACAGTTACAGGATTTTTTCTTAAAATGTCACTCTTTTCTGCCCAGTCTAAATTAGAAGGGTCTCTTGTATCATTTTCATGATGTAATATTGATCCCACAATCTCATTCCACCTGAATTCAGCTGCAGAAAAAGAGCAGAACCATGTAGGAATACCAAGTTGTCGAAGCATAGCAAATAAGTCTTTCTGTGTCGCTGACCAGTATGCAGGTGTTCCTCGAATTGGTTGCATAAATCTGAGGGCTTCATTGTTCTTCAGTAGTTTAGAGAGTATTTCTGGGTCTTGCAACATATCTGATGTTACAGATTTTCCACCATCAAGTTGTGATACAGACTTGCGGATTGAAATTTGTGTTTTCTCAATCACTTGGTTTAATTCAGACATGTACTGCGAGAAGAAGATGTAATTTGTGTCTTTTGCAAATCTGTTATCAGTGTTCATAAGTCTGTTGTTAAAATATCTGGCAAGAGTTATCTTTTCATCTCTATTTTCATTCCAGGAAAAATTTCCACTGGGAAATAAATGTGGAAATGTCTTGGCTTCATTTCCTTCTTCTTGCAACATACGCACTGGATTTTGTACTTCCCCTGGAGCTATATTGTAAACATCATCAAAGTAGTGATCGAGGACCTCTTGTGCAATATCCACAGGTTGTAAGCATGTGTCTGAAACAACCTCTTGAATTTCTGCTGTCTGTTCTGAAGTTAATTCCTCCTTTTCACATTCATTTGAATCATCCAAAATCAAATCACTTTCCTCACAGTTTTGTTTCCATGTGGTATTTATCACAACATCTCGATACCATCTATTGTTCTTCTTTAAGTAGTCTAGGGCTGTATGTATATGTTCTGGATTAACAAACTGGTACTCAAAGTAGCCCTTATAAGATAACTTGCGTTTCAGCTTGACGCGAAGCAACATATTTTCACTTTCATTTCGTGGTAAGCTTGTTGCCTTCCTCATATTTGAAGGTACACATACAACAGGCCCATGTACATTTCTTTGACCACCTTGTGGGAGAGACATCACTTTCATAAAGGGAATATGTAAGGCAATGAGATGTTGCTCTAAACTGTTTAAATTACTTAGCTCATGTGGAATTTCTTCAAGTCTCAATTTATTTGCAGCAGCTTCTCCAGGGACTTTACCACTCAGTATTTTCCTATGGCATGTAAAACAGATCCATAATGATGATTTTTTGCAGTTCATTGAACAAGACATTGTGCACTCATGAACGTATCTGTTACTAATGCATATCTTTGCAATTTCCATTGCTTTCTGTCTTTTCTCGTACATTTCAAATGCACATCCTTGAACTTGATTTTCAAACAATAGACGATTACAACAACAACAAGTGTATTCTGGCCCATTCCTCACATTTTCTTTAAATAATTTGACAACTTCATCTTCGTCCTCTAGCTTCACTCTCATTGCTCTTCTCTGTTTTAGCACATTTTCCTTCTTGCGTTTCTTTGCATCAGCACTAAAGTGGTATTTTACCCTATTGGCTGCCTTCAGCAAATACCTATGATCTTCATCTTTCTTGTACTTTTCTGTACTTCTCTTTTTAACATCTGCTCTATGATCTTCATCTTTTTTGTACTTTTCTGTACTTCTCTTTTTAACATCTGCTCTATGATCTTCATCTTTCTTGTACTTATCTGTACTTCTCTTTTTTACATCTGCTCTATGATCTTCATCTTTCTTGTACTTTTCTGTACTTCTCTTTTTAACATCTGCTCTATGCTCTACATCTTTTTTGTACTTTTCTGTACTTCTTTCTTTAACAATTGCTCTGTGTACTTCATCTTTCTGGTACTTTTCTGCGTTTTTTCGTTTCAGAGCTTCTCTGTGTAAAATATCTGATTTATATTTCTCAATATTTCTTTGTATCACATGTTTTTTATGGGCTTCATTTGTTGCATATTTCCTTCTGCTTGCTTCTTTAAGACTAAGCTTGTGTCTTGGGTCTAATGCATATTTTTCAACACTTCTTTTTTTTGACTTTGCATTGTATGCTTCATTTCTTCTGTATCTTTCTTTGCTCTGTGATGTGGCTTTTAATCTAAATGCTCGATCTGTCCAGTACTTAAGTTTTGCTGCTTTTAGTTTCTTTTCCATGCAACACAAACCTTTATTCTCGATTTTTCCTGATGACACGACTTTACGCATTTCTCTCATACGATTCCGATTTCGAATTCTTTTTTTTAATTCTTTTTTGCCCATAATAACTGATTCTGTCTTCCTGTAACAAGCTGTTTGTTTTCCAAAAACTGATAACACTACATTGTAATGATTCTCATTTTCATGAAAAAGATATATTGCTTCTGACAGCTGCAGATTTTATGTGGGATCTACCATGCGTGCAGAATATGTAACCCAATGATTTTGTGTATATGTGTGCACATCAGTGTTTAAAAGATGAGAGAGAGCAAGAATTTCTACTTCTGTTGCCCATACACCCTCTTGAGTCATATTTCTCATTGCAATATGATTTTCAACAGAGTTTTCACCACACCTTAAGAAGGTTTTAAACAAATTTGAGTTGTCAAGGAGATGTTGACAAATTGCTGAACGTACATCATAATGATGGTCCTCTACTCCAGTCAGACAAAATGAAATGGCTCGAAAAAAAACAATTTCCATCCCCCTGAATTCTTACATAATCATCTGGTGCTTCCGCTTCCTGGGTAATGAGGGTTGGTTCACTCACTTCTTCATAACTTGAAAATGTTATTCCTAAAGTTTGACAAAGCTCACTTTTCCTATCACCGGATAGTGGCCTGAAGCTAATTTTGTGACTTTCTGTTGAAACAACTTCAAAATCATCATCACTACCACCAGGAACTACATGTAACTTCTCATGTGCCTCAATTTTGCTAATAGAACAATTCACACCTGTTACTTCACAGTCAATCATATCAGAATATCCCATTGACACTGCTAATAAAAGAACATGGTTGTAAACTTCTTCAATTGATTCATAAAGTATTCTTGCACTGCATCCATTCAAACTCATATATCCTTCAGCAGACCTTGAGTGTGAATCAAATGTGAAAAATTGATCATTTGTTTTCCCAATCAAAAAAGTATTTCCCCTCAAACATACAAAACATCCGTCAGTTTCAGAAAGGGCAATACGCAAAGCATCTAAAAGGAAACATGCATGAAAGTCGTCATAGTTTGGTTCAGTGTCTGTCAAATTGATCAAACTGCATAATGATTCATCTGCTTTAAACTCAAATCTTGTATTAAAGCATTCAAAATACTGTGGTAACTCATTAACCAAAAGGTATCTGTTGTTTACACAAGAACTACGCTGCAAGTAAGTGTACAACTCATCCCCCATTACCAACACATTGTCCATATCCCTTGTTTGCCACTGTTTAGAATTCTTCAACCTATGGTAAGCTAAAGCTACTAAGGAGTTTGCTACACACTGTGTACCTGCGTTCTCACCAAACATTAAGTTACCCTGGTGAAAAGAACCTTGGATAGATCTCTTGATGTTTGCTAGTTGTCTGCTTTCACTTGTACTTGGAACTTCAGCATCAGTCAATCTGCCAGTGTATTGTCTCTGAAATCTGTATCTTGAGTCATTTTCAATATAGTCAACATTTATGCACTCATTTTGTTCTTTGATATTTATGACATTGCTTTCAGTATTCATTTTCATATTTGTATCAGTATTCATTTTCATATTTGTATCAGTATCCATTTTCATATTTGTATCAGTATCCATATCAATATTCGTTTCAAAATCTGTTTTAATATCCGTTTCAAAATCCGTTTTAATATCCGTTTCAAAATCCATTGCATCTTTTAATATCCTGCTGGACTCATCCCCCTGAGAGGATGACATATCCAGCTGCGCCTGACCTGCTGAGCCAGACACGTGCACGGTGTCCGGCTCAGGTACCCTCGGCGAGGTACAAACCCACGGTGGGGAGTCAGGGGACGGTGCCATGCCTCCGTTTCGGGCACACAGACGACTTCCCTGAGAGGATGCGATACTCAGGGCATTTGAATGCATTTTCTCGCGAAGAGAGGCCTGCATTCTGGCCAAGGGTTTTTCCTCAATAGGCGGAAACCCTATAGAACCTTGCCCTGGAAAATTACCAGGGGGAGCCAAAATAGCTCCATCTACTGCCCCGCAGGGGACAGCAGACTCAAGCAGTAAACCATCTTGTGGAACGTCTGCTGAGGGAAGGAGCTGCTGCTGTCTCTTCTCCCTCTTTCGAATCTTGTCTTTCTGGCGCTTAACGCTTGCAGACATGCCCTTTCTCTTGCCCATCTACAAAGCACAAGAAATCCAATTATTTTAACTACATAATGTTAGTATATATATGTGAAGTATACAGGCACATGAATCATCCATCTAAGAGAGTTAGACGTCATCATTTCATTAAATGAAGTTAACAATGACAATTTAAAAATAGCACTATACAAGCATGACCTCACAGAATATGTATTTTAAACCTACAGAATAAACAAGGGACCCAACGGCTTTGAATTGCTTTTCTAATAAATCATACAACCCATCGCTTCTAATTGAACACTTTAGATATCCTGTATGTTTAAACAAAGCTTTGAAATTTTAAAAATAGGTTATCATGACCTACACTTCAGTTCAAACACTGGAAAATCCAAAGATAAGTTACCTGAAAAAAAAATTATGTTTTTAAGCTCCTTATTAAAATATTCAAATTAAGCGACTTGATCTCAAAAGTATGATGTACATTTTGAAAAACATACTTCCAGACCCTAAAATGCTTTTACTAACAAAGTTTGATGTGTTTAAGTCTATATTATTTGAAATATTCAGATATATAGCTTTGAAATTGCAAAAGTAGGTGAAGGTGACCTACATTTTTGTTAATACATTCTAATGAACTGACAAAGTTTGACAAATATAAGCCAATTGTACCTGAAAAATATTCAAAATCAGGTCACAGTGACCTCCTGTTCAGTTGATATACTTATTGCACTTTAGAGGGATATACTAACAAAGATTGATGTCTCTAAGCAAATTATTGTCTAGGAATATTAAGATATCGCCTTAAAAATCCTAAAGTAGTTCATAGTGACCTACATTTAAGTCTACATACTACGAGGACCAAAGATACATCAATTAACAAATGTTAGGTGATTTAAAACCAATTAATGCCTGATACATTTAAAAAAAGCCATAAAGAACAAGGTTCACTTATGGCCTTTTTTGGCCCTGTGAATTTCTCAAAAAAAATCTTTGGTGATTGCGTACCTATCAAAGTTTTTTTTTTCAAAAGTTTTGATTTGCACCATTTTCAGCGTTTCGGTCAAGAGAGGACAACCAAACATTCTTTGAAAGATATGGTTCTAAATTTGATTATTTATTGTGGCCATCCCCATCATAATTTTAACTAGAGGTAACATATATGAGGCAACAAAATTTTATCATTCTTGCTGCAATTCCTTGTTAACTTGTCCGAATGACTATGAGTGATTGAAGGATATGACATACCTTTCTCACAATTTATCTTTGTTTCGTGTATCAACATCCAATACTTATCAATTAGAGCCTTATGGCCTTAACATGAAGTTTACTTTTGTCTGTCATCATCAGTGACACTGATGCACTTTCAAGACAAAACATATTTGTGTCAAGTTTTAATTTCCACTGTTTCTCTATTACAAAGATATTGACTAAATGTTAACACCACGGGCGTAGTATCAACATCCAACATTACCTTTACTCAGAAAATGTTAACTGAAAGGAAGGTTGCTTTCAGCAAAGGGTAGTGTTATAACCCCCAAAAAGTTTGAATTGAAAGATAGTTGGTCTTGAAAAAAGTCATCACACACACACACACACACACACACACACACACACACAAATAGGATTTGTGGCAACTTTTAATTTTTCTTTTTTTTTTTGCTTTTTTTTTTTTTTTTTTGCTTGTCAACTTTTTCACGTGAAAAAAAAAATTTTCTCAGGTTGGCCCCCACTTCCATAACGATGCTACGTGCCTGAACACTGACCATGAACATGTTCAAATGATCTTAAATCAAGATCAGGACAATTTACCTTTAGGTAATAACAAGTCTATGTGAAGTATCAAATTTATTACAGACACAAATTATAGAAATTTTCACTCATTGATCATAATTAGCTTCAACCTCCTAAAATCACCTTGGATCAAGTTTGACACATCCTCAGGTTGTCAAGTTTGAACTTCAAATGTTTCTCCATAACATTATATGGTCAGAGCAAAATTATTAATTTTACTGAACATGATCTTGAATGTGGCCTGACCAAATGATATTGCTTTTAAGTAATACATGTGTATAACACCATTAGGTCATTAGTAATCTTTGCATGAAAAATGAATATCTAGAATAAACGTCCCACCCTTCCCCAATGATCTTGTTTCTAGAACACTTGCAGCTAATACTACCTGGAAACTTTTCTATATTAATAGAAGAGACCCATGGGCTACATCGCTCACCTGAGCCTTATGGCCAGGAAAAAAAGAAATAAGTTCATAATTAAAAAGTTTAAACCCAAAAGTGCTCCAAACCAATCCTTAAAGAGGAGAAGGTATGATTTGAAAAAACTTGAATCGCCTACACTAAGGATATGCTTGCCTACTTCTTTAACCACCTGTGTCTGTTACCCTTGACATTTGAACTTACATTTGAATCGAACTTACATTGTGACCCCGCCCTACCCCTCAGGGGTCATGACTTGAACAAACTTGAATGTACACTGCCTGAGAATGCTTCCATATGAATATGACTAATCATGGCTTTACCATTACTGAAAAGAAGATTAAATTTTTTTTTTACACATTTCTATGTAACACTTGGATTCCCTAGACCCTATTGTGGCCCTGCCCAGTACCCCCAGGGGTCATGATTTGAACAAACTTGAATCTATTTTACCTGAGGATGTTTCCATATAAATATGACAATCATGGCTTTCATATTCTTGAGAAGAGGATTTTTTAAAAGAATTTTTCTATATATTTCTATTTAATACTGTGACCAGCCATTGTGGCCCTACCCTACTTCCGGGGGTCATGATTTGAACAAAATTTAATCTATATCACCTGAGGATGCTTCTATATAAATATGACCATTCATGCCTTTAATTTGCTTTTCTTGAAAAGAATTTCCTTATACATTTCTAT